CTACGCATAGCATCGTTGCAGACACGCTGGTGCCGCCCGACACCAGCAATAGTCCGCAGACAGAGATGATCAGACTTCAAGGCACCGCAAGTCCTCAGATCAAAAATGTTGTCTCACGACCATACAGCAGGACGGCCCTCACTGTGGCCGTGTGAACAAGACCTTCCAGACCGAGAGCGATCGATTCCCGACGCCACAGATGTCGCAGATTCAAAAAGGCAGTTCTAGCTTTTGCAATACATGAACTGACTTCAATCATTATGCGCTCGTCTTTGCCGATGTAGCTGCGAAGGTAGGTGAAGTGATCAACCACCACAAGTTCCTTGCTAACAAAGTGCGAAGCGCATGCCAAATAATAAAATCACTCTAGAGGTTATTCAGGGTTAATTAGGCCACACCAACATCTTTAAAAAGCAAGAGCTCGTCCGCATAAACAAGGTCAACTAGCTTTTATCCAGGCAGCAACTCAACGCCTGCACCGTAACACTTCACGATGAGGTTAAATAGAAATAGGGAAACTGGACAACCCTGACGAACGCCCCTTGTCGGAAAGATATTCAATAATTCATCGCAGATCCTGATGCGGCCTGTGGTGTTCGAGTATAGGGAGCGTAAAATGTTTACGTATTTTGTGGAAACATTTTTTCGACAAAGTATTTCGAACAGAACGCATCGATCGACTGAGACGGACCCATTCTTGTAGTCGAGGGACATAGCTGTTGTCGGTCTGCGGTACGTGTGGCGTTGCGCTAACACCTATCGCAGAGTGAATACGTGGTCAACACAGCTCCATACTGGGCGGAAGCTTGCTTGTTCCTTCCTAATCCGAAATTGCAGCTCCGCAGCGAGGCGACGAACGTGAATTGATGCCAATAATTTTGGCACCATCTGTTTAGCGTAACACTGCTGTTGTTAGTAGTCAATGTGGCTGCCTTCTTGCATATCGACACTAAAATCGAGCCACTCCCCTTCCTTCTAGAAGTGTTCGAACAGGGACGTCAGTGCTTTACATAGGACCTCACCTCCATACTTAAATAGTGCATGTGGGAGGGAATCCGGGTCAACAGCACGAAAAGACCATGTTCCGCAACTGCACAACAATACAGCGCGGGAAATCGCACACCAACCCTTTGATGCATAGACAGATGTCATGGTGGCGCCACAAGCCCAGCCAAGACGAAGCTAGATGAGCTTTCGAGATACGTGTCAAAATATCTTCTCCAAGAGTTCCAAGGGCATTGATGCAGCTCCCTAGGTAGACAAAAGTTACCACAATTTTGTATCTCACCACCAAGAATGAATATAGGTACAAGCAACTGCAAGCCTTGAAAAGGCGCCATGCACTTGGATGGGGAAAAGTATGTCTTTTTGGATTACCAGAGACTAGCAAGCTCCATATTACTAGCACGTTCACACCACCAGGTTTCACGGTCCTTCTTTAGGCTAGCACGTAGTTTCGCCCTGAGATTTTTGCGAGATTCATTGTATTCGCTTCCAGCCGGAATACGTCGGCGAGCATCCATATGTTCCAGAGACTGTGTAGAGACCCAATGTCCGGTTTTGCAATTTGTTTTGCCACATGAAGACATGCCTGCTAATAGCAACGCTTGACGAGTGTGCGACCAGTGATCTTCAACGGTGTTTAGTGGGCGCTTACTCAGCCCAGATGTCAGCGCATCTTGGTACACATTCAGAACATCTGGCTTCGCCAGCTGGCTAGTGTCAATCCGTTCACATCGACGTCGCGGACGTCCACCGAAACGCACCAGGAGGTCGGCACATAGAAGTGCGTGGTCAGAGTCCACGCTCGTGCTCCAAATCGAGCGACAGTTTTGGACACAGCCTCTCCAGCGGTAACTGATCGCGATATGATCGATTTGCGTCCATGACTGACCCGAGGCTGGTGGCCGCCAAGTCACACTTCTGCGGGTGCTGTGTCGAAAATTAGTGCTCGCGAGAAACAGGCGAGCATCTTCACACAGCTGGAGCAATCGCTCACCATTATCATTACGGGAGCCTACACCATGTTGGCCGCCCAGATGAAGCTCATCAGAGGACAATTTTCCGACTTGGGCGTTTAGATCGCCAGCCAGCACCACAGTATCCGTGCTTCTTCTGTAACGAAGGAGCTCGTGAAGTTGCTGGTAGAAATCATCTTTTACCGAATCAGTGCTACAGTTTGTAGGGGCGTAGGCCGCAATGACAAACAGGCACCGTTTGTCCCCGCGCGACTTCGAAGCACGGAACGAGCCAGCTAATCTAACGGCGCACATCCTACTGTTTACTGGGATCCAATCAAGCAGGGCAGCTTCAGCCCGGGGACTCAAAACAATGCCGACGCCGGCTTGACCGGCATTTGAAGCTGCATCATCGCCAGATAGGCGCAATGAGAATGTGCCGCCAGTGTCGCATGTGGGGGATCTCAGGGTAAGCACGGAGCTCGAATCTTGCGGGCGGGTTTCTGATAAACAGCAAATATCGATTGATAGGGTCTCTAGTGTGCGGGCAAGTGCTGCCTGTTGGCCAATCTGCAGCAAAGTGCGCACGTTGAGGCATGCCAATCTTAGCGAGACACGAGGACTCCAAAGGGAAACGGATGAACTGACGTTGTCCGCTTGGTTGAACATGGACTTATCGACTGGATTGGAGCGAGGCCCTGCGATTGTGTGTGATTTGAAATTAGAAGACAAGCGACTATTGAAGTAAGCTGGGGGAGGGCCAAGAATTGGGGGATTGAAAATGGGGGGGATATAAGTAAAGTTGGAGCGGGACAATAAGGATGCAGAAGCGCAAGAAGGGGTATAAGAAGACGGGAAGGCCTGAGCAGTAGCATCCAAACCCCTATCCACCCTGCTCGATGCAGCAGATAGGGCGCCGTTTATTATCCTCTGCGACGGCCAGAGCATCAAGAAATTGTTGTAGGAAAGGTTCATTGTATTGCGTGGGCAGAATACTGTCAGGTTGCCCAGGCCTAGACAGGAGAACGATTGGGGTTCTCAACCAAAGCCTTTGGTTCAAAAACCTTACCGCAAGGCAGCGGGTTTTGGCACTGGACTACAGAGCCCGTTTTATGAAATGAGGAGCCACCCCCATTCCAACCCCCAACCTGGAGGACCAGGAGGCTGAGTTTGTCTGGCCTTTAACCATTGACCAATCTGGTATGAGTGGCTCTAAAGGTGCAAAAAAAAGTACCACCCAGCATAGCTCAATGGATCTCTGAGGCACGCAAACCATCGCACCACGGTAAAGTCCAGCCTCATTGCGATGGACAGAAGTGTTCAAGATTACGAAGGACTTTTAAGGTAACAAACCTCTTGTCTTATTTGAACTAGGTACTTCTGACCAACTGCCGGGGCATGAATTTAGGATAAGGCTGGATATTGGAGAGAACTTCTTTGCAAACTGTGTAGTACGTAGCTGGAACAAGCTTTCTTCTGCCTTGATGGAATGTATGACTGTTAAAGTCTTCAAAAATGGCCTGGATGTGTTGGTCATATATAATTCAGATTTACTGTAAACCTATTGGAAATTATCGCTGAAACCTCGCGGCCAATGGTCTAATCTTTATTCCCTTCTTTCACAGAAACAAGAACAACAACTCAGACGTCGTAGTAACGGGAATCTTGGTTTGGTTGCCGGTATAAGAAACAAAACGCTTGTTAGGCTGGAGCTTATTTCCCTCCTGGATCCTGACATGGCCTAAACCTAAAATCTAGGGGGTCAGGAGATTGTCCGACTTCTTACCATTGATTAATCCGGTATTAATGACTCTAAAATCGGATGAGGTACCCCGAACTAAGCTTAATGGATCGTCGAGGCACGCAAGCCTTATTACGACGTACTATTGATGGTACCAGCTGTCGAGTGATTAAAAAATACTATTCCACTGAGCATTTAGTGGTTGAGGACCAAGTACAAATCAGGAAGCGGCAGAACAACGCAGCTCGTTGACTACACATTCCACTGTATTGCGAATCGTCCAGCCAAACACGACGGCTCACACTTAAGAAAAATCGGAGTCATAGACGGTGCATAATACGCATCCAAAAACCGTATAACTTTACTTAATAATATACAAAAATCTGTGAAGCCCATCGAACTAACCTGAGGAATAATCGATAGTCTCGAACTTTGAGTCAGCGTCAAAATGCAGGCGAGATTAAGTATTAATATACAAAAGGTTTATTCCGAAGCTCAAGATGCAAATGAACATAAAGCTGTCTGACAGTGAGTGTTTAATAATCGCGGAAAGAGGTTGCATCATGTTCCAGGAAGATCACCAAGGGAGAAAAACAACGGAGGAACGAAGGTGTGAACCATAAACGGAGTGCGGAAGCTGAGTTCAAACCCTGACCAAAAGAGAATCTGGAAAACGTATAGTTACAAAGTGAAGCGAAAGAAGTGTTGGTAATTTATATTGGGTTACTCTGTCTTTTGCTTCAGGCGAGCGAGTACATCTGGTTTGGCTAACTGCCTCCCGACCATTACGATCGTTACGCCACCAGAGAAGAAAAGGCAAGGTACCCAGGCGGCCATAGTAGGATGTGATATCCTGAAATTATTTATATAAGATCAAATTGTATACTTACTTAAGCAAATGCCGTCTCATAAATGAATGTCCAAGAATTGTAACAATCAAAGCCACGGCCATGCCGCATCCGAGGCCTACCCTTGATCGATCAAAAGTCCACCACAATGCAAAGGAAAGGCCGACGATGGTTACTGCTAACTGTGCATAAGATGCGAAGTCGATTCTTGCAGTTGCGTGTCCAAAACCAAAAAAGAAAGCAACGCAACGGAACACCGATGACCATTCTCTGTTGTAAACGTCTGAGAGGCCCAATTTAAAATCAATGCACGGAGATAACAGACCAACGGCAACTAAAAGTCGATAAACTTTCGTCACAACCCTACCTGATGCGAAACCACAGCCTAGAGGTATCCACAATCTAGGGTTGATGACATCACAAAGAGAAGATGTTGGATCGATCACATTGCCTCTAATTCCATGCAACGCGTCGCACGCGCAGAAAAGGAGAACACCAAATGTAAACAAAAGGATACTCCGCGAGATTACTGCAGGCCAGCTGGCCATCCGCAAAAATAAAAGTCTGATCAATGGAAGATGTGCGCACCAGCCTAAGATGGAAGACAGGGTACACGGTTAGCACACAAACCTGAGTTTGTTTCATTGATGGCACATGAAACAAACTTGTTTTGTCAAAGGAAAAAATGGTTTACGTAAAAAAAGGGAGCATAAAGAAGCTACCTCAGTATAGTGTTATAAGCTAGGCAGAAACCATATCCCATCAGCTCACCAACGACGAAGCGGCAGTTGGACAGGGAAACAGCGGATCGGAAGATCCCGTGTGTGGCCTTGCTCTGAAGGGCACCATCGACGCCTTAGATAAAGTTCAACACATTGGTAATTGCAGGCGCAGGAGGCAGCCACGGACTCTTGCTTGGTCGTTAATAAAGCACTTGTAAAGAACATCGACCTTTTAATAAAAAGAAGAGCCCACCCATAATGAGCAACCAGTCAGTTAAGCACGCAAGTAAACGGAATTACAAGCAAAATATTGAAACTGACAGTTAGTTTCTTCACTGAAAAAGCATTATTACTGCAGATAATGTACATCTGTTACATTCCTGATGCAACTTCGCCTAGCGCTTATCTGTGACATTGTTTGACCTAGTTGTTTTATTCTCAGGAGAGAATGTGTGGTTAAGACAATAATCTATTACTATTATTGTCTTAACCACACATTCTCTCCTGTACTACAATTACTATTATTTTGTTTTTGTTGGTTCCCTTCTCTTAACCTTTATTCTATTCACGTGGCCGGTACAGTGGGGACTGCTAGTGCAGGCCGCGTGGGCATTGATTGGTTGACCGTTATGTGATTCGTGTGTATTGATTTGGCTCCTCTCGGCTCCAAACCGCTCCCGCAAACTCCATCCTGGTTCAACGACGCATTGAAGAAGGAACACACATGGGAATTCTCCTACCGTTCTTGTCCAAATTGAACTTGAACTTGAACTTGAAATGCTCCGAGATATTACTACCGTAAAGCGACGAGCCATGTTCTTTTAGCCCACCCTCTAAAACAAACCTTTTCTGCTGTCCCGACCTTGAATGCGCACTGCTCAGCTTGCGCTTGGTTACCTCCCGGCTGGTCCGCCACTTTCGTGTTGGCATGTCAGTGGGCATTGGACACGTTATTTGAGTTACAGTTCCAGCCACGTACTGGCCCTTGGTTTTTCATTGCTGGTCATCGGGTCCATCGCATGCTACGCAGCCCGGAAAATATTAGATATCTGGCGACCCTGCTTTGATACAAAATGTCATCGCAAGGAATAAACCGCTCTGCTTTGCGTGTGCGTTGTGTGTTTACATCCGATGGTGACTGCGATCTTTTGGAAGGTTGAATGCAAAACTACATGAAAGGCATAACTCGCAGTGACCACCGAAAATATATAGTGAGTGTCATCAGCGGGGATAACATTAACTAACTGCTGGCTTTCCGGCTGCTGTAAGAAGCCTCCCTAGGAGACGTTTTCTCCACCCAAAGGATGCTTTATCTATTGAAAACCCCGCCGTCCGTGTTGCCTGAGTCTTGTTATACTGGCATACAGTTGCGCTCGGAAAAAGTTCAGCAGTACGCTGCCATCCCTCTGGGACTATCAGCCGAAGCTTTTCCAGACGCATCGCAAGCGGAGTTAGGAAAACCAACCTTTTACCATCTTCCAATCAACGTGAAGAACCACGAGCATCTTTCTATGTTCAGCCGCAAACGTCTGCGATGGCTGCCTTAGGCTGTCCATGTTGCAAACAGCTACGCAAGCGTAGAGAAACTACAATCGCAATAAAACTTTGTCCGTTGCCTTCATAAGCTGAGAGCACATAATCCCTTTCTGCTACCTGCCTCACTCCTCGTCGCCTTCGCTCAACGGTCCTCGTCGGTCGCAAGAACGGTCCCTACTCCTTAATGCTCGGTAACATTTAGTGGCTTGTTCATCATCCTTTCCTCTGCAACAAGACGGCCCACAAGTCCAGAAGTCCGAGGAGGCAGCTTACTTTGTAGAACACAAACAGCGTAGTGAGCCGTGAAGTTGTTTGCTCACTGTGCCATTTGTTTCTAACGTAAACCTGCTAGTCTTTAGCCTGATCTCTGGGTTGATAAGGCGGAACCTTGGTAACATGCTCATGGATAACTGGGCTGTGTGTTCTTTATTCCGGAAGTGCGTAGTTTCAACAGCCGCTACTGTTTTCCAAGACAATTCTATGAATATGGCGGCAGCCAACTGGACAGGTATCAAATCCTCGGGTTGGACCATAGCGACTATTAAACTAGAAGGCCTGACAACCACACATCAGGTTTCTTTAGTAGATGACCTATCTTGGGATTTTGTGCTGGGAGTGTATTTTCTTTCCTGGTACAATGTTATGGTTTCTATGGTCAACAGGATCTTGGTATTTCCCAACCATGTGCTGCCGTTTGTCATGCTGAACCCCTCTGAGGTAGGCTGTACGGTAACGTTAACATCCTTGCAATAACTAATCCAAAGCGTCTTTGCTGAAATTGCGACGCTTATTGGCCATGAGTTAGAGGAAATTTTAAACAATACCAGCGCTCTTTCGCTTGGTCAGATGACGGTATGAGAAGCTACAACTTTTTACTGCGTCATAAAGACACAGGCGAGGAGATATGTACCTACTAAGTTACAAAAAGAATTACAACACAATATCGAAAGCATGTTACCACGCGAAATTATTCGACTTTTGGAATCGTCATGGTCATCACCCATCGTTCGCGTTCCAAAAAGAAGCGGGGAACTGCGGTTATGAATAAACCCGGTCATATGAAATGACTTCTTTACATTACCGAGAATGGATAACCTAATGACCCCCAGTGGCTCGCGTTGGTTTACTACTTTGCAACTGGCCTCCGGTTATTGGCAGGTTACTCCACCCACATGAAACATGTAAGGCTGCGTTTATTTTTCCGTCCTTTTTACAAATTCCAGACCATGCGGTTCAGTTTAACAAAAGCCCACGCAACTTTTTGTCGTATAATACACATAGCTCTAGCAGGTTGGATAACGAAACACTATCTAGTTTATCTGGTCGACCTCATCGTGCACAGCGGAACTACAGAATAACATAATAAGGGTCGTTTCGCCTTGCTAGATTGACTGTTGCATCTAGGGTTAATGGTTTAAACCTCAAAGGGCCAATCCATAAAAGAATGAGCTTATCTACGTCACATCGTGTCTGGAGAAACAGTGCGTTGCGGCCCGATTAAGGTCAGGCGGCTCCGTACGCGGCCGTTTCAAAAAGCGCTGACAAAATGCGTGGCTATCTCCGACTTGATTCCTACTATCGGCGCTTAGTTCGACAGTTTGCTACCCCCGCTAGTCTGTGGCACAAACCTTTTCAGGCTGATTAAGCATTCGTTTGGAAAGTGCGCAGCAAGTAGCATTTGAAACATTTAAGACTACCCTCTGTGCACTACAGGTTTTAACATTACCTGGAACACGTCCATCTGCGTGCTCCTCCATTCTGCACACAAGTGCCAGCAACATCAGCATCATAGCTGTATTCTCAAAACACACGGCGTAGGGCATGGAACCGGTTATTGTTTTTGTCAGTAGAAGTCCTTCGCGAAGTGTGTGCACCTATTGCACAACACGAAATGGTATGCTGACGCTGGTGGTTTCTATTAAACCAGGCAGGCACTACCTTTATGGCCGCAAGTTCACTGTACGTACTTACTATCAATTATTGAGCTGACTTTAATAATTCAGGAACCCGAGGGATGCTCGCCCGTTTGCATGAACAATTTTAAGAATATGACTTTGCGTGTCAGCACCGTCCAATCGCAAAACAGGTGAAGGTCGACGCTTTAGCCCGATGGCCTGTCAAGTATCATGGATCATGTCCGTCACGTACAAATGCTGGCGCGACTGCCGTTGTCTTCGACGCCCCGAAGACGGAGAAATGGATGCGGTTGCAATCGATGGGCTTAGAAATTCGCCTCTTGTGCGATCGCTTTTTGGGGCTGGAGGGGTATCAAAACATCAAGACCCGGAGAGTGCCAGTTTTAAAAGTACATGCCTATGGTCACTATGGCCGCAATTACGGACGACAGCCGGTCTTGGGAATTTCCAGAACGGGCCGGCTTATTTGCGAAGAACTGTTGTACCGACCACTGAAACGCAGGAAGTGATGCAAGATTCAACAAGATTTAGGCTACGCGAGAAAGATAAGCTGGAGGCTACGATACCACGTCCGTTTTGGTGACCATTCTACGAAGTGATATCGCTATCAGTTGCCAGCTCTGCGCTGGTTGCGCAAGGAAAAACACCTAAAAACCACGCATCGTGGTCCGCTGCAACTAATGACCTTGGGTTTTCTCAACGAGCTCGTGCGCATCGTCATAGCTGGCCTGGTGTCAGGGATGGTTAGGGGCCATCATCACGTCTTTTATGGTTGACTATTTTGTCAAATGGTGCGATGCAGTCCCGCTTCCAAATATAGACACATACAGCGTCTCGCTAGCATACCTCAGCACTAGCGTGGCAAGTTGTGGATCATCCTAGTATTTTCAATCAGACGGGGTGCCGTCTTCGGGGTGGCACTCAAGAATGGGATTTGATACATTTCGGCTTCCGGAGCATACTTACGGCTGCTTGCCACCCCGGAGGGAAAGGAGCTACTTGCATGCACGGACGGTACGCTAAAGACGTGATTACAGGTTTTCCTGTCTATCGAGGTTCCTCAGGAAAGGGGCATGACTCTGTCCGAGTGTTTTCTGGCTTATCGTGCCTCCCTTTAAGCGTCGATCGGTCAACACCACGTCGCCTTAGGACCGGTGGTGAAATGTGTCTGGCTTCGGATACCCTGCTACCGACGTCAGGCCAAAAACCTTAACCGCTTCGGAACAAGTAATTTGGTTAAAGTCAAGACTGATGCTGGCACACCAGCTGGTACAAGCGCACCTTCGAAACTCGCAGCGTACCCAGAAGGCTTAGTTGGACCGGAAAGCTTTCTGGAATCCGTTCAAGACTGGTGATGCGGTCTGGCTCAAATTAACAATAACACCACCGGACTTCCCTGCGAAGCTCCGTCGAAACTGGGAAGGACCTTTCGTTATGAAAGCAGCGTTGTCAGGTATAACTTATTGAATCATGAGGCCAAGCGGCCCTGGTTTATCCACCGTTGTACAATTCAACAGGCTGAAGCCAGTGAACAGAGTCGCGGCGCTGAAGTCAGCGCCGGTCAGCAGGGGGAGCAACGTAACGCGACGCGCCATGTGATTTTAACCCACCGTGAACCAAGCCTTTCCAGTTGTGGTGAACTCGTCTGCAGACTACTCAGTCTACGCCTGGTTGCCTCTGAGGTGATCGGCCACTTACAGGTGTCGGCTTGGCAGCGGGCACTTTACGTTATTCGAAAATATTCGTTCTTACTAGGTGGTTGTGTTTCGCTTC